CTTCCTCGCCCCCAAATGGAACCAATAACCCCCCGGTTACGCCTTGCAAACTACATTCAGTGACTGTTATACGCACTTCCAGAACATATTGCAAGTTGCCAGGCCCAAAAAATTGGCTGTTCCTGTCCTAGAGATCGCCGAGGTCTTCCTTAGAAGCTTAAAAATCCCTCTCATGTGCAGCCAAAATTGTGCCCCTTTTCCAGCCATGTAAAGACACTGCCGTCTTCGGTCATTAATCACCACCTTCGAGGGCTATTTTAAAAGAAGTTTCACGTTAAAGGAAAAAGCAAAACCAAAATACATAAGAGTTAAAGTATAAAAATAATCGTGATGCGTCTGGTTTCACTGAGGGAGGGAGGGAGGCGCGAGAGAGTTCCAAGGGCCGTTTCAAAAGAAGCTTTATTTTTTTTTTTTTAAAAAAAAGCAAAACCAAAATATATAAAAGTCAAAATCAAAATACGCAAAAGTCAAAGCGCTTGGTTCCACTGAGGAGGGAAGGAGGGAGGCGCGAGAGGATTTCGTTTCTTGGGCTGCGTGAGACCACAAAGTGGTAAAATTTGGCCTAGGAGCTGTTGCTGTTGAAAGATGCATGAAAGAGGGCAAACCAGGTTGTCGTTGTCTGATATGATTGCTGCCGACGGGTGACCATCACCAGTGGTTTGCGTATAACGTAGCACTTCCATGCTATTGCAAACTTCCAGTGAATGTGAGAAATCGTCCACTGAATCAAGACGTGCACTGCTTCGGTCAGCGAACATAGCAGCACCAGCACCGGGGTCCCGTGGCACAACATCGCGTTCAGCCATCATCGAGGCCACTGCAGTACTACGTCGAATTGGAATAGCTTCCGATGCTGCTGGCATAGTGGTTCGGTTGTTTTCCGTGTGTTCCGTAGTGTTAAGGCGCTACAATTCTTACTGACTTCTAACTGCTGCTACTGCTATTGCTGCTGCTGTTGCTGCTGCAGTTGCTGCTGCTGTTGTTGCTGCAGTTTACAGTGATGTCGGTCGAGCAGTGATAAAAATAGCTGCGAGAAGAGGGACCGTTCGTTCAGCTGATGATGAATGAATATATATCACAACCAGAGATGTCGTCTTCTGCGCGGCTGGCGATATGACACGCGTTTTCGCAGAACTGGAAATGAAAAGACAACAAGCGAAATCACTCCAACACACACTTCTCTCTTCAGTTCCTTCTTTTTTTGCCCAACTTCAGCGACAGCTGCTGAATGCTGTCTGCGTGTTTGTGTGTGTGTGTGCGTGGAGCGCGGTGCACCGCTTGTATAATGTGCACGTAAGTGTTGTGAAACAGAAGAATCAACCAACGAAAGTGTGATAATCAGCCACAATAACTTGACGATCTCCTTTAGTAGTCGTAGTAGTAGTGGTGATAGCAATAACGGCAAGCCGCAACGTTACATAGAAAAGCCTGCAAAATCAACAAAAAAACACTTGAAAGGCCCTGATTTCCACTCGGGAAATGTCTGAGCAGACGAAACAACGGCGCAGCAAGAACCAGAATCAATGAGAGAGACTTGAGGGGCGGGGAATTTATCCGGTTTGCTTGCAAAAAATCGAGGAACGACAACGCACTGCAAAGAGTTTGCAAAGCAACTTGCAAATCCGACGGCACGCACAGAGATCGCCCAAGGTGACTACAAAAAAACAAAGCACACACTGTCAAATTATCGAAAAACTGGACGTGACTCAATGGACCAAAACGTTTTGGCTCACTCTTAACCTCAAACTTCACTACCCTTTCTTGCTTGTGTGCCCCATCGTCTGCCCTTTCAGGATTGACCTGGGAGCTGCAACCTATTGGACGTGATCCGAGAGATGCTAGCGAACATTTTTTCCTCAAACAGAAGGGAATTATGGGAGCGATGAGCCAGGCCTCGAACTCTGAGCTCGCACGCTACCGATGCATTCCATCAGTGGCAAGAACAGGTGGCTAAAGTAAATACAACAAAGACGCGAATAAAAAATCACGTGGACGGGAGCATCTTGACAAGTCGCACCTAGGCCAACCCCGCCACATTTGCTGTCTCGGGAACAAGGAAAAGATTTCTCGGGAACAAGGATTTCAACAGGCATGTTCTCTAAACACACAACGAAGTAAAATATTTGGAATTTAAGTGTTGTAGAAATTGTAAAAAAAAAATACAGCGAATATTCTTGGCAAGGAAATTGGAAGATAACGGGGGCCTGAAATCCTCTATGTGTGTTAACATATGCAGTTTGTTTGGCATTATTACGCTGTGATTAACAAACAGGCCAATTGAATGATCAAATGCAAATGAAATGCCTCGTGATAAAAAAAAAAAATCCTCAAAAATGAATGTTTCTTTTATAATCCAATACAAATAATCTGTTGGGCAAAGCGGGAAATCCGAAGGCACGCAGGGATTCGGCAAGAAGTTTCGTGAAGGTCGTTGCCCGGTGATCATGCTTGATTTACGCGTTAAAATCCCTTTATATAAATGTGGGTGATCAGGGATTGATTCATTTTTATTGTTCTTGTTCATCTATTGGCTCGTTAGTATTAATAACTTCCACCATGTCTTCAGTGTCTTCGTGCAGTTTAGCCGAGAAGAGGCTGCGTCAAGGGAGCGTCAGTGGGTCCCGAGGAGCTTCATCAGGGCGAGACTCGCCCAACAAATCATTCCAGTGGTATGATCAAATGCAAATGAAATGCCTCGTGATTAAAAAAAAGCCTCAAAATAAGTGTTTCTTTAAAAATCCAATACAAATAATCATTCCAGTGGTATGATCAAATGTAAATGAAATGACTCGTAATACGAGTGATCAAAACCTCAAAGTTCTTTCTTTTTACTTTAATAATACAATTCAAATGCTCATGCTGGTAGGCACGTCGGAGTTGAATAGTACTGTTATCGTACAAAAGGTGGAAAGTTCAGCTCTACCAGTGAAAAAACCAATCCTTCTACTACGATTCGTTTTGATAGTAAATTGGTACTTGCGCTTATGCTAGGGAGACAAAATCCGTCATCAGCTTGACTGTGAGCAACTCTCAGAAGAGGGAGCCATCGACAGCCTTGCCAGTGAATGGTAACTCGTATTCCTTTCTGAGTGCATCTGCAACTCACTGGGAGCAAAATGCGGCGGTGGTTTTGACTTTTAACAAATGTTCATTAAACAAGGCCCGTATATATACGACAAGCTCTTGATCTGAAGTAAACACAGTACAAAATTATTCACAACTTTAGAGGGTTTTCCCCGTTCTCCTTCCTTTTTTTGTCACCTAAGCAATGTATTATGAAAAGCAAAATATGGATCACTGCTCGTATCACATGTTCTTTTGCGTAGTAAGTGGGAGAGAAATTTGCGCAGAACACTAAAACACACACTCAAAGCTAATACATATCTTCCTAATGGATATCGCTCAACTAAGCACACATGGGGGTTCATCTCAATAGCCAAAGCACAATAGTATTTGCATAAATTGCTGGAAAGACTGGGAGATCAATATGCCAGACTTTTTTTGCTTGCATATCTGCTTATCCTTTACTGCACTGCCAACCGCTAGTTAAGCCTCGTACCACTCAAATTTAGCCGAAGAGATGCGGCGCTGTGCCTTCTCGACATGCCTGAGGCAGCCAGGATTGTACCTCGTCGAGCCTCGACATTGCCTAGCCCACTGCCGCTCTCACACCACGATGAACGGCCTGGGTTGGAATTCTGTCCGAAATTTTTGGAATTATAAAACTGTTCACTAAGAGAGAGAAATGTTCGAAAGGAACTATTCTTAGGAGCGGACGAATGCAGCGACTTTTACCAGTCCGTTATACTAATTCTTCCGAAAGAAGGCAAAAAATGGAGTACCCTTGGAGCGAAGCATCGGTGTGTGTGTGTGTGTGTTTGTGCGTGTGTGTTTGCTGACCGCATCAACAGATTCAAATCTACCTGCGGGTGGGAGGGGAGGTGACTGGCAGTGCCCACCATTTTCAGACAAAATTTGCTGTCCTGCACAAATCTGTCCCCCTCCCCCCTCCCTCCTCCAAGGAGCTAGCAATGGCCAGTAGCACAAATGACAAAATGAGAAATGCATTAGTCGGGCAAAATGACATGCCAGTGTGTCTGGTTGAGTGTGATACAAATGCCAGGATTGGGAAAATTTTTGCATCGACATAACAAGCACAGCTCAGTTTTGGCTCAATTCTATTGGCCACTGTGAGGGTATGCTATTCAATCTGTGAAAAGTGCGA